TTGACAGAGACAGTGAATCCGGCTATCAACGTCTATTAAATGATTACTTTGTCGAAAACCCGGTTTACGGCGAAAAAGAATTTCGTCGTCGATTCAGAATGCGTAAGAATGTCTTTCTTCGAATTGTGGAAGCTATCACCGAGCATGATCCGTATTTCCAAAGAACGCCAAATGTTGCTGGAAAAATGGGTCTTCATCCTTTGCAGAAGGCTACTGCTGCATTACATCAGCTATGCTACGGCGTCAGCGCTGATACGGTAGACGAGTATTTGCGTTTGGGTGAAAGTACTGCCTTGAAAAGTATGAAGAAATTCTGCGCTGCTGTCGTTGAGGTTTTTGGAGAGGAGTATCTTAGAAGACCCAACGAAGAAGATACCGAGAGACTCCTCGAAGAGAACAAAAAACGTGGATTCCCAGGTATGCTCGGGTCTCTCGATTGCATGCATTGGACTTGGAAAAACTGTCCAACAGCATACCATAGTCAGTATACCGGCAAGGAGAAGAAGCCGACATTGATTTTGGAAGCAGTGTCTTCGTATGACCTGTGGATCTGGCATGCCCATTTTGGCTTACCAGGTTCATTGAATGACATTAATGTTCTTGACAGATCGGATTTGTTCGATGAATATACGAACGGCAGCAGCGTGGGTGTAAAGTTTGACGTCGGTGACCAGGAGTTTACCATGGGGTATTATCTTGCCGATGGGATATACCCCAACTTTGCCAATTTGGTAAAGACATTTTCTGTTCCAAAACCTGGTGCCGAGGCAGTAAATATCGTTTCTAAAATATTAAAATTTATATGCTAGCTATTAATCATGACTTCTTAAAATATAGAACTTCGCTAAACAACAAGAAGCATGCCGTAAGGATGTCGAGAGGGCTTTTGGCGTATTGCAGGCTCGATTTGCTATAATTAGTTGTCCTGCAAGATTGTGGAAAAGAAAAGATCTTGGTATGATCATGAAGGCGTGCATAATTATGCATAATATGATAGTCGAAGACGAGCGGGATGAGAGCGACACCCTTCCAAACAATTACTTTAAGTCTCAACCTGCCAATCCTTCTGATGCTGCAGACATTTCTCGCGATCCTTCGTTCTATAGCTTTTCTAGCTATTTAGAGCGCCACGGAAACATCATTGATGCATATGAACATTTCAGATTAAAGAAGGCCTTGGTCGCGCATCTCTGGCATAGAAAAGGATATGGAATTGTTTAGACTTCACTTCTAAATAAAATTCACTCAAAAGTATAGGTCTATCTAGTTTTAAAAATATAAATAATTTTGAGAATGGAACAGAGGATTAAACATATTTATTGTTCACCATTAATATCTTCTGTACGAAGTATTTCGTTCTCAATCTCAGCTTCGAGGCGATCCAAAGCTTGTTTGCGACTAAGCTTATAGAAACGCAAAGTCTCTTCATCATCCTTGAACTTCTCCAAGTCAACGCTGAACAATCTCTCATCCAACAACTTTTGATTGACTGCCAAAAGCTTTTGGTTGACAGCCAATTTCTCCTGCTTAATGGCGTTCGCCATATCCATCTTCTTCATCATCTCAGAGTATTCGTCTGCTAGCTGTTGCTGGTGTGTTTCCCAGCTAACCAAGGAATCAGTGAACTTCTTGTCCATGGAAGCCTGGTTCTTGCTCTTTTTGCGTCCCTTAGGACGCGCAATAATGGATCCATCACTTTCACCATCTTCATCCTCAGCAATCACTGTTGCGGTCCCAACCTCAGTAGCAGCAGAGCTACCAGGAGCACAAGAAGCGGTAATCGTTCTCTTGGAACCTGCCTTTACCGCCTGTTTTCTCACGAGCTTGGCGTCTCTTCTTGCCATCTCATCATTCCACTTTGGACTACTACGAAGTACCAAAAAACAATCGTAAAAAGCGAAATGAACACGGTATTTTGTCTGAAACAAATTGAAAGCATCCCCCAGCTATTTGTTAAATTATTTGAGTTAAACTACTATATCCCTTTATCGATAGTTATATGATACGTACTTCATCTGCAGCAGCATTACCGCTTTTTTTGCGTCGCTGGATTGCTGCGACACAGCCGCAGTACTTGCTGACAGCAGCAGAAATGTTCCCCCAATGGTTTTTGAAGGCCTTCTTGTTTCTTTCTGGCCAGTCGAGCTCACCCTCCGTCTTGAAGTCGTTCATAATCAACTTCCAGAACACTTCCGCCTTCATCAAATTACCATGGACTGCCTGCTCCGAGATGCGCAACCATGACTTGCACACCTGGACATTCTCCTCGTGTGTCCAGCAAAAACGCTTCAACTTGCTGGTATCGGAAGGACCAGCATCCTCATTGCCACTTTGCTCGTGGTCGTCAATTCCATGGACATTACCATCATCACTGGCATCGTTACTAGAATAGTTACCGTTGTCGAAGTCAGAATCGTTGTTATTGCTCATTTTTATTAAAAAAGGTTATAGAGATAAAAAGGGGTATTTTTTATTGATGTTTTTTTTTCCTCTAAAAAACACTTCGGATTGGGAAAATGTATGGGAAATTTTGATTTCCCAAAGTTAAGGGTTTTTTATCGGGCACTGCTGGGGGTAAAAAACTTTTAATTTTCCCTTAATTAGCGGGCAAATCTGTTGTGAAATAGAAAGGGAAAGGGCAAGTACTGTTACGACTAAGTCGTCTCTAATTTTTATTTAAAAAGAAGATAGAGATAATTCTACAAAACTATCAAGGGGTATTTATATATAATTTGAAAGGTATCAAGAGGAGGGTATTGACAGTGACCAGCACCGGTGATTCCATAACAAGCAAAACCTTGACAGTCATCACTTAATTGACGGTTCTACTAAATATGGGAAAAGAAGGCAGAAGGAAGAAGGAAAGACCAAAGCCACGTAAACAGGTTTATGATTTACCAAACTTAGTTTACCGAGGTCAAGAAATAAATAAATATAAAGAAGTAAATAAACAATTATACAAACAATAGCACTCATTTCCATATACGTATGGCTCAGGTCCTATGAGACTCTTCGCTCGATACACGTTACACAGCATTGTTTTATTGATAGAGGTAAATTGTGAAACAACTAATTCCCACCAGTGTGATTATATGGAATCATGTCCTTATTGGATCATCTCCGATAGTTCTACTCTAGGTGTGTTATTATGTTATCCTCAACAAAATCGACTTTTACCGGGCACTGCTGGGGATGCTCTTACATCACAACACGAACTAATTTTTTATACATTATATCATATCCATCAAACTAAATTCATAATCCGATTTCTCTTAACATATATAAATATGCAAACTGATAGTTAGAATAGAACCCTCTCAATCTTTTAATCTACTTTTACTCTTAATAAAACTTATAAGCAGTCTCAAAGTATTTTATTGTTTTTATTTATCTATCTCTATCCTCAACTATCACATTTTTATCTATATTTATCTTATAAACTCTTACCATATCTTGCCTGTCAATACTTATATCTAACATGTAATTTGGCTTATTATCTGTCTGTCTCCCTAGAAAATCGAAGCCTAGTCTCTTTTCTCTGTATCTTTACTTCAAATCTTTTTATTCTATTTATCTTTACTGGTTCGTTACCATATATATCTTTCAAGTATTTATATAAAATAACGTGGTGCTCACTTAAGAACTGAAATATAAATCATTATTTATATTCTTGCTCTATCTAACTCATAACCTCTGCCAATAAAACATCACAATCACTATCCAGATTGTATCAACAATATTTGGTCGTTACTTAACAATAGTTCCTCGACAATGTCGTGACTGCTTTTAGATAATTATAAATATGTCAGATCAATCCTTCAATAAAACGAGAACTCTTTTACTACTCTACTTAAATATCTATAACTATGGGCCCTCACAAGCAACAAAATTATTTTTTTAAAGATCCCGATTAAGGACTTTATTATTTTTTTTTGTGAAAGGTTACTTCAGACTTCCAAAAGAAAGCTTTTTTCAAAATCCATGACGTTGCTTTTTAATGACCCTTCTTGAACGATCAAAATATATGTCATGAACTTACTCGCCCTGTTTATTGTCTGCATAACTTAACCATGATCTCAAACCCCTTGTGAAACCTTGTTCTAGAAATCAATATCAGTATCTCTTACCCGCTACCAAACTCCCTGTAAAACCTTGTACCAAAAATCATATCAGTATATCTTGTCCGCTACCAAACTCCCTGTAAAACCTTGTACCAAAAATTATATCAGTATATCTTGTCCGCTACCAAACTCCCTGTAAAACCTTGTACCAAAAATCATATCAGTATATCTTGTCCGCCACCGAACTCCTTGTAAAACATATCATTAATCTGCCTCCAATATATTTCCCGCCTCTTGTCTGACTCAACCTTAGTAAACCTTTTTCCGATCATCTATTACTTCATATCCCAACCCAGTTTTCCCGCCCGTGTCAAATCAGAGATATTCCCCGAACCATCTAATTATTCAATGTCAACTAAATCCAGCATGCTATTACTCGTCGAATCTCAATTACTCATCCTTGTCAAATAATCTGCTCATGATATCTGTTCCGTAAAGTCCCTTGTTAATCTATAATTTAAACCCATCGTAGCTTTTCCCATGTATAAGAAATAGTATAAATAGATGCTAGTTATTTATTAGAAAAACGTTATTCTGGATCTTAGTCCTAACCCCCTCCCCCTCTTAATAATAAACATATTTATTTTAACCAATCGCCCCCCTCGTGTCGCCAAGTAGTTTCTGTGTCTTGTTCCTGTTCCGTCCGTGACAATATAAAGTTCACTCAAAATGCTAACCTATCTGTTATTATTTTTCAAGGACTCTATTGTTTTGATATTATACTTTTTATTTCTAGAGAAAACAAAATCAATCTATCTCAAATTGTTACAGTAGTTGCTGAATCGCAATAAATTTTATTTGGACTTGATGATGATATGAATATGATTATGGAATCAGACATTTCTACACTTTACCGACAACAAAGTCTCCACTACAGTTTTATTGCATTCTCGATGTTGCCTGTTCCATCAGATCGTGAAACTCCCAGTGTTGAAGAGGTGTACTACCAGTAGAATTAGCATCGTCTCGTCTGGTTTTGAACGTATCACAGAGACGAATCCACTGGTTATTCATCGCTGCAAAGTCCCTTCTACCGTTGAAAGCGTCACTGGCATTAAAAACATCTTCCGTTGCCTTGTTCAAATTCAGCTTTGCTTGAGGTGAGCGAATAACACTGTTACTGGCTTGTTTAAGTGTAAAAGCGGTAACGTGAAATAAAGAAAAAGAATAGAGATTAAGATAAAAGTTCTTAAAAAGTGAGCACCAGACTATAAGTTGTCAACTAAGATAAAATAAAATATAAAGATATAAAAGGGAAATGCTACGACGAATCAGTTATCTGTGTCTTCGAAGGAGTATAGTAAAATACAACTGTTAAGACTATTCAGTGCTGATTTATAAGAAGGGCTTTCGTACAATTATAGTAGTTATATATATTTATAATGAAACCAGGCTTATGTGAATAAGACTAAATCAGATTATAGTAAAGAACAAACTAAAGATTTTATTAAATAATTTTATGGTCCTTTTATAAGAAAAGGACCAAAAATCAGTCAAAAAAAAAAATAAGACATCCGAGGCCAAAAAGGACCAACAGAAGAAGAAAAAGGTGGTGTAACAACACCCACGTTTACAACGTAATCAGAAAACAACTCGATCAAAACGTTGGTGCTTGCTGAATCCCATATGACGATGGTAGTGTACTTTTGGAAAGGCATTCTGTTAAGTAAAATTGGATAGTTAATAATTGGTAAAGAAAAATGAGGAGGATCACAAACAAAACTCTTTTATCCAAAAAAAAAAAAAAACAAAAACATTGGTGAGTTCAGTAGCCCAATTTGGCTGATTTTTCATCTGATAGAAGGATTCTGGGGTCGTTGGATTTTAATCCTTTATTGGGATATTTCGAAAATTTTGGCACTGGAGAATATTCGATGTTATTGTTAATCGCCTATACATATATATCCATTTAATTTTTTATTGATCTATTTGGCAAAATTGTAACCTTTCACAAAAAAAAATAAAAAATAAAAAATAATAATAAAGTCCTAAATCGGGATCTTTAAAAAAATAATTTTGTTGCTGGTGAGGGCCCTAAGCTTAACACTATATCAGACCCGACAACAACAAGATCAAACCAGTGTCGGAGTACAAACCATATTAATATATATTTCATAATTCTACAAAACAATAAAGATCATCTTTTATCTACTACTCTACTTTTATATATATCTTACACAACTTAAGATCAGACCCGACATCTGGTAGCACCAGTTTTCTTTTTTTTTCACACACTTTATAATTACGTATCAACACATACGATTAAAGTGAAATAAGACAGAACTATTAGTTTATGGAGAAGTATACCGATTACCAAAGAAAATTTGAAATAGAAGAACGTGTTCAGTTTAATTTACCTGTTCAATACCATACACTATACAAAGCGTTACGAGAAACTTCAGCAACCGATAATCCTGTAAGAATACCATCAACTGCAGCAAGAGAAGCACACTGGAACAAAATTACAACCCGTCTAGTCGAAAAATATATAGAAGAATTTACAGGGACAGCATCAAACATTACAGAAGACACAACATTATCTCAACAACAAGACGAAATCAATATGGCAGACAATAATACCGATACTGCTATTGGAAAAATAATAGCTGATGCAATCCAAAGTGGCATTGCCCGAGCACTTGAAACAAACAATCATGATCGAGAAGACGAACAAGATTTCTACTCTAAGCCTTTTAAATACAATGGCGACAGGGATAGATTTAAAATTGACAATTGGATTTCATCAGTCGATGATTACAAGGAATTTCGAGGATGGGATGATCAAAAGACATACCGATTCGCAAAAACACTACTTATCGATATGGCTGCAATATGGTTACGCAACCTTAATGACTCGGATACTAATGCGCCTACTACTTGGACCAGTCTGAAGCAATATATTATTAATCAGTTTCGTCCAACCAATACGGTCATACAACTTCGTGAACAATTACACTCGCTCGTACAAAAGACAACTATTGCAGACTATATCAAAGAATTCCTAACTATAAGATTAGGTATTCCAAGAATGACGGATGACGAAGCAGTCGATAAATTTACACGAGGTCTAAAAAGTAAGGACGTACGTGCTCAGATTCGTAGCTTATACAGAAATGAACGCCCCCCGTCTCTTAATGAAGCTATACAAGCAGCTCAAACTTTTGAATCATCTCGCATGGAAAATACCAACTTTCAATTTAATACATCAAATGGAAATAATAATACCAGTAGTACCGATTATATTGATGACCCAATGGATCTTTCTGTGTTACGTGATGTTCTGAATTACGTTCGTAATTCACATGATAATAGATCTAGAGGTAGAGGAACTTATCGTGGTAACAGTTCTCGAGGCAGTCGTGGCAGCCACTCTCGGGGAGGTAGCAGTACCTTTCGTGGTAACCGTGGTGGCATGCGTGGTCGTGGAGGCTTTAGAGGTCGTGGTGGTTTTTATGGAGTCGCACGAGGAGGATATAACGGTAATTCTGATAACTATTCTTCATCAACAGAAACTCGTGATTGTTGGAGCTGTGGTCAGTTTGGGCATTTACAGTTTAACTGTCCAACTCAGCAACAACATGACTCTTATTATATGGAATCGGATTATGACGATAGCTATGAGGAATATGATTATCAGCCACAGCATAAACCAGTAGCCGCTGGTCCTAATAATCATTCTAGTAAATCAAATGATCAGTCAAATAAAACTCAATCCAAATTATCATCATCTTATACAACCCCGTCTTCTGTGTTATATAGTTTGATGCCATCTTCATCATCTTTTGTTGAGCCATTATCAGTGGATTCACAAACAATCAAAAAGGATGTAGAGTTTTTAATAAATGCCAATAATATTCAATACAAATTACCTCTGTATCGTATATTAATCAATGGTCACCCTTGTAAGGTATTGATTGATTCCGGAGCAAGCGCAAACTATGTACACTCTAACATGCTGCCTTTTGTTTCCAAAACAATTCGTACTCAGAATGGACAATCTGTAGAAACAGCCAATGGACAGCAAACATTCATCGAATCTATAGCGGAATTTTCTATTTCTTTAAATAGTTACACTGACCGTATTCAAGCATATGTATTTGATACAAAATTTGACGTTATCTTAGGTAGAGCATGGTTAGCTCAAGTACAGCCGATACCTGATTGGTTTAATGGGACATGGACTATAAAAGTTCGTAACGATCCTGAAAAACTAACTATAATTCATCCTTTACCTGTTCAATTACTTCAATTATCTGCCAAAAATACCCATAGCATAGAACTGGAGTCGAAACAAAGAAGGGGCAATGATTTCAAAGGAGATACAACAGTACCAGTTTTTGAGCCCGCTGAGCTTGATTTTTTGATTTCGGCTAAACAACTCGACAATCTATTTAAAAAGAAAAACGTTGAAGAATGCTACTTAATTGACATTTCGGCAATTTCTACAACTGATGATTTAGCTGTGCTCGTTGATGATAAATCAGCAATGAACTTAAACCTAGACCCTACAGTATTGACAACAGATCAAGAATGGTGCAAAGAATTTTCAGTTAAATATCCAAGTGTTTTCAAGGGAGTTATTGACAGTTTACCTCCATTAAGAAGCACGGTGGAAGATATGATCGTTTTCAAACCAGGTACAGTGCCCGAATCTAGGCCTCCTTACCGGATGAGCCCAGTAGAACTACAAGAACTTCGCCGACAATTAGATACATTATTGAAGCAAGGATTGATAGAACCAACATCATCTCCCTATGGATCGCCAGTTCTTTTTGTGAAACGAGCAGATGATAAAAAGCTAAGAATGGTATGTGATTTTAGATTAGTGAACAAACTAAGTATCAGTCATCGTATTCCCATCCCTCGGATTGATGAATGTCTATCGATGTTACACGGTAGCAGTTTCTTCACGACATTGGATCTTCAAAGTGGCTTCCATCAACAACGTCTGACAGAGTCCGACTCAGAAAAAACAACTATCAATACCAGATACGGGCAATTTAAATGGAAAGTAATTCCTTTTGGATTACGAAACAGTGGAGCTCAGTTTCAGAAAATGTTAAATGTTATTCTTAAAGATTACATCGATGTAATATGCTTATTATACATTTGTGATAATTTGAGTATAAAAAGGTAGAAAATAAAAGATAAAAATAAACAAGTAAAGAAATGAGACTCTTTAATCCTTTATTATAAGTTGGAGAGTTTGTCATGATAAAAATAGAGGTCCTTTTTATATTCAATTATTACTTCAAGATTTTTCCTGCGCAGATCGAATTGACTATTTACCCGCAAACTGGGAAATGGTAGAATTAGATTTAGAAATCAGATACATATGAAACATAGCTTATTGTTATATACAAGGAGCTAGTTGACCCATATCCGGCACTTCTAGAGCATTATAGTTTATCCATTCAATGACAGGGTCCTTGATTGGATTACTAAAATAAATTTATGAGAAACTAGAAGATTCGGCAGCTACTCGACCAATCCAGGAACGATTATGAAATCTGATCTCAGTTTGACATATGAGGTAGCTGGTACTGTGTCGTACCAATAGGAATGTAATCGCAATATGGTACTTATAATACATAGGTTATATGTATTATAATTGAGTGACAAGATAAGAGTAATTATATTCGTGGAATTAGGCGTCAAATACGACAACATTGACGATATCTTAATTTTTACAAAAGGAAATGATGTGGCATTACACAAGAAACATGTGGATATGATATTAAAGAAACTGGATGATGCTGGATTAGTAGTCAACAAAGCAAAGTGTAAATTTAATCGTAAAGAGGTTACATTTCTAGGTCATGATGTTATTGCTAATACTGGCGTACGCCCGGCCAAGAAAAAGACCGAAGCTATTACTACTTGGCCCCGTCCTTCCAATGTGCAAGAAGTGCGTCAATTTATTGGTTTATGTCAATTCTATAAAGCATTTTTACCTAATTTTGCTTCTATCGCGACACCCATTACTGATCTAACGAAAGGAAATGGTCACAAGCTTCGTAATATTGAATGGACAAGTGAATGCGAGAAATCGTTTGAAACTATCAAGACTTTGATGTCCTCTGCACCAACATTACTGAATCCTTGCATGACTTTACCTTGGCGAATTGAATGTGACGCTAGTGACTTTGCAGCTGGAATGGTTCTTCTACAACAGGATCCTAAATCCAATCATGAATGGAAACCAGTAGCATATGAATCAAGAAAATTCAGCAAGGAGGAAAGAAAATATTCTGTTCAAGAACGTGAATGTTTATCTATACTGCATGCTTTGAGAACATGGCGCTGTTTTATCGATGGAAACGATTATGAAGTGTTCACTGATCATGAGCCACTTAAAACATATCAAGATACATCCAAAGTCTCACCCCGTTTGGTACGATGGATGACAGAGTTAAGTCTGTACTCCCCAAAAATTTTATACAAGAAAGGAATTGATAATATTGTTCCGGATTTGCTCAGTCGCCGTGATGGTCCAGATTGTATACCTAACCCCGAATCAATGGAACCTCGCTTCCTATATGAGCCGGCCGAAACGGTAGCAGCTATCACATCAAATACTTCCTCGGAATCGGATGGTGTGTCAATTGCTGATTCTTTACAAGATTGGCCCCTTCTTTATTTTAAAGATGCTAATATGTGGCCTGAATCATTAAAAGAACAATTGTCGAAGAAGCAACATGAA